TATTCCCATATCTCATTTGCCTATGGTAGACAACTGACTCAAAGTGCATCTCTCCCAGGAATTTGGAATTGATACCAAAAGAGATAATCTGAATGGGACCAGAATCGTAACCTATCAAGTCAGAAGCTAAAGGGACAAAAGCATGTGAACATAGGTGGAAAAGACTATTCTGCTGAGGAGAGAGAAACAGAGCACAAAAACAGAGTTAATTCCCAACTTCCTGAGAGTGATCCGATTTCTGGCTTTGGTTTTTTTCTGATGCCCAGTTGCAATCCTGCTCATATATTCCATGAGTCATCTATGTCCCTATAATAACTTCTCTTGTTGGCTTAAGCTAGCTTAGGTTTATCTTTATAATCTTTAGCCAAACAGGTTTTATAATATTATGGTAGCTGAGGAGACAGAGAGAAGGCCAGGAAATGGCAAAGAGAAGTCACTAAACTGAACAAGTTGATTTCAACAGAAAGAACTGAAAGATCAAGAGCTGAGAAATCAAGCTGCCAGCTGTATCAATGTAGCTATTAAAGTTCTTAATAAAAATCAGCATGGAAAGGAAAGGTCTAAATGATGAACCGAAATGACAAAGTTAGAAGTGTTAAGTAAAGAAACAAGATTGGAACAATCAAGTAATAGTGCTCTCTCATCAAAGGAGCTCTCGCCAAGGGGATGGAGAGTCTGTAGAGGAAGATGAAAAGACTATGGGTAAATGATGAAAAGCTGTATTTTGCTAAAATAAAGAGAGCCTTGGAGTAGAAGATCACAGATGGGCTCACTGCCATGCCTTTGTCCATATGGTACTCACATTTTGTAGCACTAGGGATAGGGGAGGTTGGTCATTTGCCTGGCTCTACCAACCAGGATACCATATGCATAGATAAAGCTGGCAGTAACTCAAGACACCATGGAATATTTAAAAAAATAAATAAATCAGCAGCCGATACTGCTGGAGATTGAAATGGTATGCCAGAAACAAATGATGCTAGAAAGCCAGGCAAAGACTATATTAGGGAGGTCCTAGAAGGTAAGATTTTTATCCTTTAAGATATCAGGAATCACCAGAAGTTGTAAGCAATTAACTAACACTTTCGGTGGAAAAAAAGAGAATATATTAAAAGAAAGAGAGACTAGAGGCAGGGGCTAATTTATAGGCTAATGTAATAATCTAGTCAGGTTGCGAGTTTTAAGTATATTCATTTAGGCACATTAATATTTAAGATGCATTTAATATATGCCTGGTTCTCTCCTAAGTGCTAGAGAAATCAAATGAAAAAATAATAATTATTGTCCTCATGGAGATCAATCTAGTTGGAGAAATGACATAAAGAAGAATGATTATTCTTTTTGTGTGATAAATTCAACAATGTAAAGCAGAGGAAGGGGTGCTTAATTCTAAAGAAGAGACCCTTGAGATCTTAACAGATTTTTTGAGATTTGCAAAGTATGAGTTACTTGTATGGTCTTCAAAAGGAGAGGACCAGGATTTCAGCGCTTAAGAAAGAAAGTAATGACATGATGACAGCAATCAACATTTATACTGTACTTACTACATGCTGGTCAGTGTCCCAAGTACTTTACATATATTAACTCCATTAATGCTCACAATAACCCTATGAAGTAAGTGGCATTATCATTTCCATTTTATAAAAAAATAAATTGAGGCACAGAAAAGGTAAGTATATCACCCATGGTTACAAGGCTGGTAAGTGGTAGAACCAGGATTTTACTTAGATAGTTAGGCTCCTTATTGGCTCTCTTAGATGGAGATAAAGCGTTGGGACTTACCCCATAGTGGTAGCTGATGACATGAGTACAGATAAGGTCAGCCAGGGAAAGTACATAGACTGAGAGGAAGTCTGAGAATGCAGCACAATGGAAGGAAGCAATAAAGAATTTACAGATAGGTGGAATAAAATAAGGTCCAAAGGGAGTCTATTACATTTGACAACTGGACCGTTATAGCCCAATGTTAAACAATTTAAGGGGAGTGGTAGAGGCAAGAAAAGGGGCTTAGAGAAAAAAGTACAGAACACATTAACTATGTACAAAAACTTGGCTGTGAAGCGAAGGAGTATCAGGTTACATGGAGCAGCAAAAGGAAGACTCAAAGGACAGTTTTTTTTTTTAAATTTCCTCCTCCTTTCCCCAGCTGGAAGGGCCATGAACATACCTATCAGAGGAATAAAAACTGAAGCTGTAAGGGGAAAAAAAAGGCTAAGGATGACTGATGTATAAGTAGTTGGAGAAATGAGAAAATAGGGGCAGCCTTAAGGCTGCAAGATGTGAGGCAGAAAAGTTGTGAGTTCATGTTTAATAGCCTCTATTTTCTCTGTTCTCTGTGAAAGAGAAGGTGAGGTCCACTACTGAGTGATAGACCCAAGGAAAACTCTTGTCTTTGGAATAGTCACTAGAAGGAACAGGGGAACGAGCAAATGAAGGATGCAATCTTGTTGAGGTGTAAAAACCCAGTGAAGACTAGAAGAAAGAAAAGCCATGAATATACACAGGACATCGATTCTTTCTGTTATAAAATTTCTCCTGCTGTGTTTAGCAACTGGAGGAGGAGAGGAGAAAAAGCAGCTTTTGTAACCAATACAAAATTTGAAGCTTGCAGAATGGGTAGAGCATGATGACCAGGTGGCACAAGAGCATGATGGTGATAGTTCACATACAGATCCATAGATTAGATGAGGAGGTTAAAGGCAGGAGGAGAAAAAAACAAAGATGTAAAGGAACAGGAGACATCATTAAGAATGAATAGGTTTAGTAGGAAAGGGGTAGGAGAGGAAGAAAGGTACGAAGTAAGCTCCACTTGACATTATGTCTGTTTTGATCACCACTATTGAGTTATAGTCCATGAACACCTGAATATTTATATAGTCAAAGAATAAGATACTGGGTTTAAGTTTTGCCTGTTTTAACAAAATTGAGGGTATGATCGTTGATGTGAGTTGCTGAATTAAAAGGGAAAGTGCGGTCTCTGAAGACAATATGGTCAAAATACACTGAGGCTTAAGTAATGACTGTATCATCGAGGGTGTGGGTTCACACAGAGGACTCTGAAACATGATAAAGTCCATGTGTGAGGGCCCCAAAACAGTTGACACATGGTAGGGAAAAGGAATTGAGTGGGTAGAGCAAGACTGCTGAGGTCTCAAAGGGGAGAGATTGTGTTTCAAGGTGGAAAATGAATCCTTTGGGAAGAGCATTGAAAAGCTGGAAGAACAATACTTTCTTCTCCCTTGCAGCATGGAGACAAAGGATGGGAAGGAAGAGGATGTGGGAGAGAGCAGGCAGCCCCTCCCAGAGCAGTGGTGTCCTTGGGAAAGCGCCAGGTTTCAGTTAAGGCCAGGAGGGGTAAGGAACATTATGTGAAGAGGAACAGGGGCTCCAGAAGGCAGAGTGAAAAGGAGTGGGAGGAAAGCTGTGGGAGGATGAGCCAGGAGGGAAAGTACAGAGCAATATGGGAATGCGATTATGAAGGTAGGAAGCCAGAAAGGCTTGTGAGAGTCCTGTAAACAATTGATGGCTGAAAGCTTTGAATCAGAAGTTTGGAACAAAGCAGTTCTGGTACTGGTACTGGTCCCTGTGTTCTCAGAGTCTGATTTCTAACAGCCTCTTAGATATTTAAATCAGAGGAACAGCAGATTCTTACCCAGTGAGACCAGGTTTCCATAATTCTCCATCATGACATCTTTATACAAGCTTCTCTGAGCTGGATCCAGATAATCCCACTCCTCCTGGGTAAAAAACACAGCCACATCCTCAAATGTCAGCAACCCCTGAAATAGTATGATTTCTGTAGTCAGTTCCTGTTGTCTCAAGGACAGTTCTACCACTGAACAGGAGCACTTACCAGGGCCGGGTAGGCTAGAAAGAACATGGTAACTATGAGTTCCAAGTGGGGCCCAATTCTGGGAACCGACGGTAACAGACAGGCACATCAGACTGGAGGGTAACTGAGCAGGACCATTGTCCTTCGTTAGTGAAGGCCCTATGGATAAGGCTTTTTCTGGTTTAATAAATATATCCTAACATTTTCACTTTAGGAAGCCTCTCCAAAGCTTTTCCAAGCTTCCTTCACCTCACTGCCCGGCTACAACTCTCCATTCGCACCGGCATGTGACCCTGTCCAATTCAATTCTATGAAGTTCTGTAAGCGTCTACCTTGAGTCCAAACATCATGACAGGAGCAGAAGGCACAGCAGAGGGTCAAAAATGATGCCTGACCTGGAATAACTTACAAATAAGAGCGCTGGTTTGGAGCATTACTAATTAATCAAGTCGTTCTTGCAGGGGGGAAAAAAGGAGCCAGTGGGCAGTTTACTCGCGAACCGCACCCCAGAGCACTAGGGGGTACTCCCTCGCACTGCGCTGGCCCTCAAGACCGCGGTCCGAGGGATGGGGGGGCGGAGGAGTGCGGCCTAGCTAGAGTAGTAGCGAGAGGGGATACCCCGACGGGCGACCTACCTTTGGCTCCAGCGGGGGGCTCGGGGAGGCCATCTCCTGGCCAGCAATCAGGGCAGGAACCTGGGGCGGCCCACGGAAAGGAGCCTCTGGTAAGGCCTATCCGACCGTTGAAGATTAGGCCCGACGAAGGCGAGGCCGCCAGGCTGGGTCTGGCCAAGTCCTGTCTCGGTCCCCGAGCGGTCACGACCCCAGGAGCATTTCAGAAGCGCTCCTTGGCCGCCCCCCAACCCCGCACTCCCTCCCCCGCTTGGCTTCGCAGCCTTCCAGGCCTCGCCAGAGCCTCCTCCCCGTTGTCAGTTCCTCCTCCTTTCAGCCAAAGAGCTCTGTGACCGCCCGCCCCCGGACCAGAAGGCGTCACCCGGCACCTTCCCGGGACGCCCCCCGACTACAACTCCCGTCATGCTCCGAGAGAGCGTCTCAGTCCAGCCCCGCCGTCAATGGCTGCTGGACTGCACTTCCCGGCATGCAAAGGGAGCCGCGGTGAGTCTTATTAGGAACCGAGATTTCCGCCACTGAGCTTACACCCGATTGGTTTAGTCTCTGTCGGCCGGGGGCAGGGCTCCGTCCCGCAGCCATTCTCAGAGATGGCGGCGATTTTACTGCCGGGTGTCGCCAGAAGAGGCCTCACGTGGATAATCGCAGGGGCCCCACGGCGAGAATTTTGGTCTCGGTCCAGGTAAAGCGAAAGGTTATGGTGGGTTACAGTCACGGAAAGTAAGGAAAGAAATGAGGAAGATGAAGGGGCGAATTCAAAAGGGAATGTCGTGCTGTTACGGCGAGGTTTTACTTCTGCCTTGGGGGACTGACAAGTGCGTTAGGGTTCTGAGTTCAGCTTCAGCGCCGATCTCTGCGAGCGGGCGGGTGGCCCAGTCACTTCTCCTCGTGGCCTCAGTTTTCTCATCTTGTAACAGAAGTATGGCCTCCGTTCCCTGCCGGTCCGCTCATTAATTTATTAAGTAAACAGTACTGATTCTGTGTTCCAGACACCGAGTGTGGTGTCAGGAAGCATACATGCAACTTAGAACAGAAGCGTGAAAGTGCTCCGTAATCTAAACTTAATTGCGGGGTGTCTTTCTAAACAAGCAATATTCAGAGGTGAAGTGCAACCTCTTCATTTTGTTCGTTTGTTCGTTCATTCATTTACTCAACAGGTAGTTATGACGCGCCTGCGCTGGCCCAGCATTTCTCTAAGGATACAGCAGCAGAACAAGGTGCCTTAGCAGAGATTAAGGACGCTGGTTTATGAGGAAACGGGCCCTACGGAGAGGAGTAGTCTTTTCCCCCAGTGAATACCTGCCTACACACTCTTCGCACTATAAATATAACTTATTGAATTCACTTGTTTTTTTCAAAGAACTGCCCCAGTAATCTCCCAACCCCAGAAGTCAAGGGCAGAGCTAAATTTAGAACCCAGATCTCTTCACTCCCCCGGTCCTGCTTGCCTCTCAGCCCCTTGTGGCATCTTTTGAAGGTAAATCTAGTAGACTCAGTGTTGGGACAACAAAGCTTGTGGGAAGCTCCGGGAACAATGTACGCCATCTTAGGTTTCAAACAAAAACTCCTTCACTCCAGAAGCATTTTTGACATCAGCTTATGTATTTATTAGCTACCCCTCTTTTTTGGCTACTATTTGTTACTATCTCTGAAATCTCCTTCACATTTAATTCATTCACTCATTCAACAAATACTTATGGAGTATCTACTCTATATCATGCCATATGTCCAGGCGTTAGGGATGGGGTCTGTTAATAAGACAGACCCCATCTTTGTTCTTTTTTTTTTCTTTTTTTTTATTCTTCAATTGCAGTTGTCCCCACTTTCCCCCCCATTACTCTCCCCTGCCCTACCCACCCCCACCTCCCACATTCAATCCTTCCCCCATCTTTGTTCTTGTAAAACATATGTTCTGGTGGAGGAAAAGTGAACACATGTAGAATATACTTTCAGAAAGTGGTAAATTATGAAGAAAACTAGAGCAGTGTAAGAAATGACTGAGATGGAAGGAATGGCTTTCATTTTATTCTGATGAACTGAGACTGGAGTAGTTTGAGGAGAAGATGGAGGTGAGAAAGTAAAGAATATAAGTATAGACAACTACTCTGAGAAGTTTCATTGTAAAAGAAGCAGGAAGGGAGCATGGAAACTATGTTGTTTCTTTTTTGACAGCTGATATTATAGCATATTGTGTGCCCTGGGAATACGCTTAGTAGATACGGAGAAATTGATAAAGAATTGGTGCAGAAATAGGGATAAATTGCTGGAAGAACCTGAATAGGCAGAAGAGTAGCATTGCTCCTAAAGGGAAGACTCACAAAGGGAAGACCCTGTTCTTGGCCAAACATCGTTCATTTCCAGGTCTGCCAGTTTCTTTAGGGATGACCAGTCCCAGTCCAGTGCCAACTCCATGGAAAACAGGAGTCAGTTTATGAACAAATATTTTATTAAGCATTAAAATAGTGTGTCATGCAGATTCCCTCACATTGGTCCATCTACTCAATAAGAGTTATTCAAACAGTTTCTAAAGACCCCCAAAGTCAATAAAACAGGTCTGTGTATTCAGGAGTTGATAATTTGTCATGGTGGTTCTTAACCAGAGACAGTTTTGCTCATCAGGGGGCATTTGGCAATACCTTGTGATTCTCATGATGGGAGGACAGGTGTTCTACTGGGGTACTGATGAGGGGGTAGAGGCCAGGGGTGCTGCTGAACATCCTACAATGAGCCAGACAGCCCCCCCACAACAAAGAATTATCTCATCCAAAATGTCAGTAATGTTTGGGCTGAGAAACCCTGATCCTCTAGTAAGAGAGGTAGAATGTCAATAAAATGGAAACTCAGGTAGGATGCAGTATGCTCTGAGAGCAATATAAATTGCTATAGGAGTTCAAAGAAACTTAAGAATTATATTTGATCGGGGAAACTAGGTAACGCTCCTTGGAAGAGAACAAGTCTTTTCTAGGACTTTTAGGATGAGTAGGATTTTTGGAGGTAGAGGTGAAACACCAGCATTTTGGATAGGCTATAATATGACCTAATACATGAGGCCAGAAAGGTAGGAAATGGAATGTAGTTTAGTTTGGGTAGGGCATAGAGTGTATATAGGAGATCAGTGAGAGATCGAGTTAGACAGGTGGATTGGGTTTGGATCTTGGAGGACTGAAAATCCCAGACAAAACAGTTTTTCCTTTTTTACCCATCTTTGGGGATTCTTAGAGCATGTAAAATTTGTAATTAGCTTTTGTTTTTTGGTCTGCGCCAGCTCAGTTCAATTATTTGCTTCCAAGGACAGGGACCTATCTTATTCTTTCCTCTTTCCACAGTTCCGAGAAGTGTATTAAGTGTGCAAATTATTTGTTGATTTAAGTTGGTGGACAAGATTGGTTCTGGGGTTTGCCAACTTGTCAACTTCATTAATGCAATGAATCAAAGATTCATATCTTTGTTTTTGATCATTTCAGAGAAGAGACAAAGCCAGTGGTAGCTGAGACAGTAGAAGAGTTGAAGAAAGAACCTATCCTGGTATGTCCACCCTTACGGAGCCGAACATACGTACCACCTGAAGATCTCCAGAGTCGTTTGGAATCTCATGTCAAAGAAACTTTTGGGTCATCTGCTCCTAGCAATTGGCAGGACATCTCCCTGGAAGATGGTCATCTGAAGTTCAGTTTCTTGGCACGTTTAGCTGATGACTTGGGCCATGCGGTGCCTAACTCCAGGCTTCATGAGATGAGCAGGATCAGAGATGTTCTTGAGTTCTATAAGTTGCCTGTTCGAGACGGATCTAAATTTGATGAACTTGTTGCCAGTAATCTGCCTCCCAATTTAAAAATCACTTGGGGTTACTGAGCGATTCAGAAGGGGGCACACTGAAGTCATTTTTTCCCACTGAACAAGGAGGCTGCTTGTCAGACTCATGCTTTCCCATGTGAAATACTATCAGAACTTTTTTCTAAAACCATGTTTCCTATGGAAGGAAGCATATATTTTTCTCATAGCATCATGAATTGACAAATAACAGGATTTTCTTTTTTCCACATTTGCGGAAACTTTTTTTAATGGAATCAGGTCATTAATAATTTATGAAAGTTTTCTTCAGCCGAGGACTCTGTAATTAATTTTGGTTTAAGATACAAGGCTATTACATGTTCAAACATAGTCTTTATAGGCAAGAAAACATTTTAATCCTGTTAGTAATCTTAAATGTAAAGTAATCTATGTTGAAGAAGAGTTGTCTTGGGCCATACATTAAATACATTGTAACACGTAATCACAAAAAATCTCATAACATTTTAAGTAAATTTACAATTTTGTATTGGGCCACACCATCCTGGGCTGCGTGTGGCCTGTGGGCTGCAGGTTAGACACCCCTGATAGTATATATACAAATAAGGACACATATTTATAGATACCCCTGATAGTATATATACAAATAAGGAAACAGATTAGATATTTATAAAGGAAACAAAAGTCTATGTTTATTACATAAAGATGTTTCACTGTTTACTGCACAAGTAGAAATGGTAGAAAATGATTCTGTTCATTCTGGAGTAATCTGTTTTGGAATTAAATTTGGTTTTTTGAAATGTATGTGCTTTTAATTTTTTTAAAGGTAAAATTTATTTTTCTGCCTTGCCATGTCCTTAATTTAAGTGTTGTAAATGAAGAAATAAAACATGTGCCGATTATGAAGTGCTGTGACTTATTTGTAATGAGATATTCCAGATTCTATAAATAAATATTTTCTTCAAGGAGATGATGTTTATGTAACCGAACTCAGGTCCACCAGCTGCCTGCCTCTACGAAAGCCAATACTCAAGAGGTGGGTGCGGATGTAAAGGGAAGTGGTTTATTTTCAGGTGCCGGCCACCTGGAAGATGGGGGGCTCTTGTCACAAAGCCCATCTCTTCCTCTCAGTGCAGGCAGAGGTTTTTATAAGGAGGGAGGGGTTGAAGAGCGCTCTACATGCAGACGAACACAGTCCATTCCGGTAAGGCAAGTAAGTGGTGGTCTGGTGTACATCGTCCTGGTTGAGTCATCCGGGCTTCCTGGTTGAGGATCAGCAGATCTCCCAGAGCTGGGATGCCAGAAGGTCAGAATCTGTATCTGTTGAAACTAATTCCTAGGAATCTTACACAAACATGTTCATCTATAAGTCACATATTAGTCAAGAGTCAGCACTTAAAAAAATGTCAAGATGGGATGGGTTAGTTTCCTGTTAACAGTTTTCTGATTGTGCGGTTGTTTCAAATCTGTAACATTAAAAAAGTGGTCTTGAGTGCCTATGACTATCCAATAAAGTGAATCTTTGCAGACTTTGACATACTTAATTTGTGGAAATTTCTCAAATAGCGAGTTATTAGATGGTTCTGAATGACAAGATGATTAAATAAGGATATGATTAAATCAGGAATTATTTTTGTTCAGATTTTAGACAAGCCTGAAACTGCAGATAGTACTGAGCCCTATATATACTGTTTTTTCTTATGCAGACCTAATACGATAGTTTATGTTAGGCACAGTAAGAGATTAAGAACAATTGTAATAGAACAATTATGACCACTGTAATGAAAGTTATGTGAGTGTGGTTTCCCTCAAAATGCACTCTGTGTACCCTTTTTGTGCTGATATGAGATGATTCAATGCCTAGAGGAGGTGAAGGGAGGCTAATGGTGTAGGCACTGGGACAGAACCTTGGCTACAAAGAGGGTTACTTACGTGAACACAGCACTGCAATACCACAACAGTCTAGATAAGGGGTCCCTAACCCCCAGGCAGGGGATGTACAGCAGGGTGTGAGCAGTGAGGTCACATTACCACCTGAGCTCCTCCTCCCTCCCTGCCAAACCCCTTCCCTGTCCAAGGAAAAATTACCTTCCATGAAACTGGTCCCTGGTTCCAATAAGGTTGGGGGCCGCTGGTCTGGATGACTAAGTGGCAGATGGGTGGGTAGCACATACAGGGAGGGGGATATCCTGGATAAAAGGGATGATTTACCTTCCAGTCAGAACGTTTCATAAGGCTACTCAGAGTGGCAAGCAATTTAAGATGCATGAATTGATTATTCCTAGAATTTTCCATGTAATATTTTTGGAGCTTGGGTAACTGAAACCATGGAAAGCAAAGTGGTAGCTAAAAGAGGACCACTGCATTTTCCTTTTAATGTCTATTGGGTGTTCAGTGATAGACCCTCTTCATTTTGGGTGTTTTTCATGAATTTCATCTTGTTTTTATTTGATCAGTCTAATGTGGAGTTCATCAATTTTGTTGGTTTTCTCAAAGAATTTTTTTCTACTTCTCTTTCTCCCTCCCTTCCTCTCTGAAAATAAATAAACTCTTTTAAAAATACCAAAAAAATTATGAATGGTTCATTTTTGGTAGATTCCATTTACTATTTTCAGCCCATGGTTGGCCACAGGGCACTAAAACCATGGGTAGGAAAACTGTGGATAAGGGAGTTTAGCTGTAGTGACTGCACCAATTTACATTCCCACAGAGAGTACACAAGGGTTCCCCTTTCTCCACATTCTTGCCAGTACTTGTTATTTCTCATCTTTTTGGTAGTAGTCATCCTAAAAGGTGTGAGGTGGTTTTCTCATTGTGGTTTTGATTTGCATTTCCCTGATAATTAGGGATGTTGATTGAGTACCTTTTCATGAGCTTGTTAGCTATCTGTATATCCTCTGTCGGAACATGTCTATTTGCATCTTCTGCCCATTTTTTTTCTTCCTTTGTGTTTAGGCAGGAGGTTGGTTTGTTAGAGGTTTTTCCTCAATGCTCACTTCCCACCCTTCGCTTTAGGCATTCCCTGTGTGCCTACCTGTCAGAGAGTGTCTCTCTTCCTGCTTTTGCTCACCCTGAGTGACTGACTGCTGTTGCTTGACACTTGGTGCTCGCCAGCCTACCAGTGGGGCAGGGGGTGCATAATGTTTTTACAGTTTCTTGGTTGAGCCTCAGGCTCTGGCAGGCCCTGTGCCCCAGAATCTTGGGGGTAGAGATTTCTCAGTGGCCCTGCACTCTTTCACCGATAGGAGGCCTCTAATTGTTTGGACACAGGATGGTTTTCTTTCCAGGAATAGAGTTTTTCTTTTATTCACTTTTCCTACCCTAAAAGAAATGGGTCTTTTCCTTGCCTCGGGAGTGACCCAAGGTGCTCTTTCCCCAATAGGGTGACTAACTCCTCCCAATTTTTCTGTGACCATCCTGGGTTTAGCATTGGAAGTCCTACATCTTGGAAAACACCTCAGTCCTAGGAAACTGGCTCAGTTGGTCTTCCCCTTTCCTAGTGGCTTAAGGCTTTTATTAGGAAAAAATGTTCCTGGCGGGGCTTTGTGCTTGCAGTGGTGACTGTTTCTGTCCTGCAGGCCTATTTAAGTACGAAAAGCTTTTTCCAGACCTTTGCCCTACTCCCAATCCTTCTCATAACCACCTGGTGAGGTTCATGGAGAAGAGCTTGTTATTGGCTGCACACTTGCGCCTGCAGCTTCCAGGTATTTCCTATGTTTATGCTAGCTCACACCCAGCGTTTAGCGCTTCCCTGGAAAGTTAGCTGAATTCTAATTAGCCGCCTGTATCCAGGCCCCATCTTCCTCCTTTGCCCTGCTGCATGGGTACCAGGGTGTTTCATCTTTCCTTGAAGGCACCTGTCATTTCTTAGACTTCAGGCTAATTAGTTGTGCTGTAACCTCAGCTCTCTGACAGGTTCAAGATAAGTTATGACTTCAAGATTATGCATATTTTTCTTGTTGTTATGATAAGGGAACAATGCTCTTTCCAGCTTCCTATATTCTAAGCAGAAATCAGTGCCCTGGCCTCTTTAAGAATATATGTTTGTAGCTTTGGGGTATAGTTTTATATACATCAACCAGATCAAGTTGGTTGGTAGAGAGAATTGTTAAAATCCTCAACCGTGCGTTTCTAAGAAGTTTTCAATTTTGCTTCATGTATTTTGAAACCCTATTATTGCAGAGTGCATATGCATTTAGGGTTATTTCTTGATGAATTGAATTCTTTATCATTATGAAATGTCCCCCTTTATCTCCAGTACTACTCTATCTAAGTTGATATAAAACAGCCCCAGTAGCATTTACATGCTCTATGTTTGTGTTGCGTGTATTTTCTTCTATTTTCAAATTGTCTATGTTTCCTTCTATTTTCAATCTGTCTTTAGCTTGCCAATGTTTCTGAAAAAAGCAATACTTGTTTCAACTAGTCTGACCACTTATCTTCTAATAAGTGTTTAGTCCATTCATATTTAATGCAATTATTAATATGACTGGATTAAAGTATCCCAGATTAGTATTTGTCTTCAATTAATCCCCTTTATTATTTACTCTCTTCTATTTTTTATTGTTGTTCAATCACAGCTGTCTCCATTTTTCCCCCATCACTCTCCCCCATCACTCTCCCCCAACACCTCCTACATTCAATTCTATTCCTTCCCACCCCTGCTGCTGTTGTCTGTGTCCATGGGTCCTTTATATATGTTCCTGGACAACCCTTCTCCTTTCCCCCGTTATCCCCCTCTGCACTGGTTACTGGCATTTTGTTCTTTATTTCCATGTCTCTGGTTCTATTTTGCTCGCTTATTTGTTTTGTTGATTAGGTTCCACTTCTAGATGATATCATATGGCATTTGCCTTTCCTATTATTTACTCCTTTATTCCTCTTTTCCTATTGTGGCAGATTGCATTTCCCAAAGACAGTTGTGCAAATACATGTGCTCACACACGTGTGTTTCATCCTACATGCTTTTTTTTCTTTTTAGAAAAACAAAATAATATGATTAATATTTCACTCACTATGAGGAGTGGTCTATGTTCTCTCTGTTTGAATTTTGATGGGGACTTGTACCTGCAACAACATATATGAAATGGCAAAGGTTATTATATGACCTCCAAAGTTAGGATATAAAAAGAACATAGTCCATACTTGGCTCTCTCTCTCAGGATAGTTGCCCTTGGAACACATAGACCAAGTGTGAGGAAGCCCAAACCAGCCCATGCAGAAAGACCACCTGAAGGCCTTCACATAGGGGAAATAATGCCTCCAGTTGTGAGCTCGCATCAACTTCTAGACATGTGAAAAAATAAGCCTGTAGGTGATTTTATCTCCCTGCCTTTGATCTTCCAGTTGAGCTACCAGACGCCCTGGTACAGAGACAAGCTGATCCTACTGAGCCCTGTCCTAATTCCTGACCCGCTGAATATGTGAGCCTAAT